GAGAGTTTAAGATGTGACGTATCGATTCTGTACGGGCAATTTGCGGGGTAACTAACCTGTGAGCTTCTTCTTCAAATATTGAGATAATGCAGCTGAGCAAAACCGATTTCACTTGTGGCGGCACCTTCTCCGACCTGTACACTTGTTCAAAAAGAACGCTACAGTGGCGAAAGATCTAAAAAGCCATTATCAGGAATACGTGACAATACAGACACATAAAAAAGGAAGCGTACATTAAGCACCCCAGGCACGACCAGTTTGTTGTCCAACGTTTGTATTAGCAGTCGATGTAATGTTGGTAGAGGGTTCGTGAGTAGATAAAATGAAAGCTACAAAGAATAATGTTAGTCAAAAAGTCTGCATTGATCCTTTGCGTCAGTTACAGCAGTGTTCTGAGCCTAAGCCAGCGCCAGTGATTAGGAAAGAATGGATACCATACGAATGCCAGTGTCCGCCAGTGTACGCCAACGCACAGCAGCGTTTTCGAGGTAATCTTGCTCAAGCTCAACTCGCCGCGAAAACGCTGGCATTCGCTAGATCAATATCCATATCTTCCTGGCGTGCGCCCGACGCAAAGTGTGAACAAAGGTAGAGAACAGTTGAAAAGCATACCTTATCCCGCACTTTTTTGAACTTCGAGAAATTATTCTGAATTTCAACATGGTCGCCTATTCCATTCACACACTCGGTGACATCAATGTCGAAATTCTAAAATTTTTCAACTGCATGAGCATCTCTTCCTTGGACTTGAAATCAAAGTAAATGTTCACCTTCAGGTGTTTGCCTAATGAAGGTAGATTTCCATATTTATCATGCCATGCTTCATAAAAGCGTTTCATCACTGGAAGCTGTAAAGAGAAATATTTCCACCTTCAGGTAAAGATCAATGCTCAGTTCAAATACCTTCACATCTTCTGGGAGAGAGCAGAATAACTTTTCGAACATGGCGAAGAATGCAGAAACGACTTCCAAAGAAGAAGCAAGGATAGTATCCATGGCTGATACAATTCTAGAATATGAGAGAGCAGTGAAAGGAAGTGGCATAAACGAAGGTTAACAATGTGAATATGCAACATACCTAGTGGTTAACTTTATAAAGCTCTCAGCATCACCAGCGCAAATGCTTTCGTTCACCACCGCCTTTCCAATTTCATGCATTACCGAAACGTCACTGTTTCCAGTCAATATGTCGTCCAGTACCTGGATGGCGACCCATTATTCAGACGTAAGCAGCCATATTAAATTCGCAAGTTTAATTCAAAGTTCAAATTTCATTCGCATTTCACTAACATTGTCTATTCGCCGGATGAAATCGTTGCGATTTTTCGTAGATTCACATGGGACAATGCTAACACTAGGGCTATGACTAACAGAAAGATCCTTGAGGAAGTAAGGCAACTGCTTTGTAGTATGAGATCGCACAACTGTAGGTTCTTGTTCCTGAACAACTGCTATTTAGCAGGAAGTATGACAATGTTATACATTCGTCAACGAAGCAAACCTTGTCCACAAGACGAAGAAACTCAGCAGGTAGGAAGTTACGAGATTTCTGGTCGATACCTGAAATCGGTTGTTTAGGAGTATGTCGGCTCCTGGCTCTTGTAATTTTCCTGCGACTTCGTTCCTGCCATGTAAAGCTATGACACCTTGTGTCACCCGTTGCCCTTATATAAGAAAACATGTAGCTATGGAGGAAGGCAAAAATTGAAAAGTCTCACCAGTTTCACAAAGCAGAAGCACAATTTTATCCAACATTTCATTGAGAGATGATATTTCTTCTGGCTGCAGCAAGTTCGAGGTCGTTGTCAGTTGATAGACTTCCCAGAAAAGTCTTATTTGCTCCATAAAAAATGAGTTATCTCCCGAATTCCTGAAACATGGGGAGTCATGGCAAGTTCTGGACATGTTGAAGGATTGGCATCAATCCTCCATAGAAACTCACCCAAAGCTAATGCGACAAATACATGTAAACGCATTTCGCCAACTAGTGATGAATGATAGACGAATAAATGACAACACTCGGGAAAGAATATTCGCACAAGAATTTTCCGCTCATCTCTTCCTACATTTCTCATCTACATACGCTGGCAAACCAACCCCACTGTAAATAATTCGGTCCTTCTGTTTTGTTTTGTGGGCGGTAGCATGCTACGAAGTAGGCGGGACAAGACGCAAAAATCTGAACAAAGTTCCCAAAGCACTCCATACACCGGCAAGAGGTGAGCAAAGGTATGCAGCGGCACGGCTCGGGGCAAGTGAGATATACATGCTCACTGTATGGGGGGCATGTGTAGAGGTGAGCGGAGCAAAATTCAAAAACTCACGACTCGCTTACAGGGTAGCGTGGGTGCGGGGTACGAACATATTGAGGTCCACAAGGGGTTAGTGTGAAATACGGTAGACATGCACAAAATGGGCTGACCGTCCTCGAGATGGGCGGTGCTCCTACAGAGTTTCATAATTCCGGACCTGAGTGAGTTTTAGAAAAAGATCGTTGGAGAAGAGAAACATTTGACGACAGCTGAGTGTGTCTGCGGTGCGGTGGTGCGCTGAACCCTCGCACAGTGAACGTGCTCTCAAGTACCCATTTTCTGAGTTTTAGTGCATAGGCAGTCTTGACCACCACCGTCCGTTTGATACCAGTCAGCTCGCCAGCTGCAGTGGCCGCGCCTCTTTCTGTGAGCAGTGGCTTCACCGCGCCTACCTGCTTTCGTATGCTCTTCACCACCACACCCTACATCTCCATAGTGTTATAGCACGTACAATGTTATTTCTCAAGAAGCGTTGACCATGAGTACAGGTGAAAGAAAAACCGGATATTAGGTGGATATTTAGACATGTGAAAGAAAGTACGCATGACAACACCGCGCCCGTCCGTCCATGCCGTGCCGTATCATAGAAGCTGGCGCCGGCGTCAGCTGGCGAGCCGACTGGTACCCTATGGTTGCTTAGTAGCCCGAGAATGGTCAAACGATTATAAGAAGGCAGGGCTAAATAAGCAGAACTAGGACAGGACAAATAGCGGTATACACTCTAGCTACAACCTTAAAACTTTCGTCGGTGTGACTTCTCGCTTCTCACTTAACTCCAATGATGAAGCGTCATTATAACACTATATAACAGCTCAGGATCAGCAATAAAACTTTCCAACGATCCACAAGACCTGATGACTTGAGCTCCAAAAATGGGTAAAAGCGAGAACAAGAGAATGTTTAGACAAAACGCGTCAACATGGTAAACGGAAAATAAGCGAAAAAAATCCGTGAAATAAAGACCAACAAAGGAATATGGACAATTTCTGACCTATCTTTGACAAACATTGGCTCCAAAGCTGAGATAGCAGTGTGACACAATTTCTTGGCGATACTTCTGCATCTATCGTGATATTCAGGATATGACATCACCGACAACACACATCTGCAAAATGAAAAGAAATAGCTACTTGGTTGGTCAATAAGTTCCCAAGGCAACAGGATTTTCCCATGAATGAAAAAATACTATTTAAGGAAGGGCTACTTGCGCGAAAGGGTGTGCATCTTGAGCTTTCAACTTAACATCATAATAAGAGACTCTACTATCCTCTAGACCATCGTCTGTTATCCTATTGGTATCCGTCTAACCTGCCACAAGATGCCATGCCAGCAGTCTGCACCATTTCATCTGCCAACAGTCTTCTTTGCGCAACGTCACACTACTGACCAAAGAGGGTGGCTGGAGGTCAATTGAAATGTAATGAATACCGTCTGATGCGTCTTAGGATGTATAGAGCCACTGGAAAGCTACAAAACAGGAGTCTATTACCACAATGATTATCTGCTTGGGCTCACGTAACTCCTGATGACAGAACTCGCTTGGCTTCTCATCTGCATCCATACGGAACTGACGCTTGTGAGTTCCGGCTCGCAGAACAAAATCACTCGTAGTTAGCCTATGGCTACAGTGCGTTTTCACAGTCGTGAATGACGTCTTAGGCGGAGGATCTCGCTGCTACAGGCGTAGAATCAGTTCGGTGTTCGTGCTTCTACAACATAATGAGACACCTAAACACCCATCCTCTTGACCGTCTTCAATTTTGCGGACATAAAGCGGGTAATGGCTCCAGCAGGTATGTCAATTTCGCAGGTATACTCGACAACGGTCTACCCTCTGTGATCAGACATTCAGTGCTTGTCTTCATCCACCTGCCTTACTTGTGCAGGATGAAAATTATGAAGCTCTCTTCGGCCACAGCTTTCTCGTTCTTCTCTCTTTGGACTTATGAATAGAGCCTTCTACATTGCATTTGGAGAACATCATTATGCACAACTATCGGACCGGCCTAGGAGAAATCTGAGCAGCACACTTTTCTCTCATGATCTTTCGTCCAATTCCATAACCTGGCGCTAATTTTGACCACTCGGGTTTCTTTTTAATGCCTCGAGTTCACGGATATGTAACTGAAGGTGCCAGTTTTCAAACGATATGGTAGCCCGCACCCGTGACCCTTTGCTTTCCTGCCGTTTCTCTATACGTCTCCACGCACGTCCACGAATGAGATGACTCGCACTTCAAAAAAAGGGCGC